CTTTTGCCTTCAATCTTTCCCAGCATCAGGGTCTTCTCCAAAGAGATCTCTCTTCGCAAGTGTGCTTTTACCCATATTAAAATCCAGTTCTCAGTGTATTGATAACAGCACCAACACTTCACCAATGAAATTAATAAAAATAAAAATCTATGTCATAAAATAATTCAAACTTTGGATTAAGACATGATCAATGAACTTGGCCTGAAGTCTTTGTCATCCGTACTTCACTCTAGAGGTCTTCCCAAATCATTTTCTTGTCATTACTTCAAATTATTTAATATATTCATATTCCATTTTCTTCTACCATTAATTCATAGGTTTTTTTTTTTTTTTTTTGCACAGTGCTGGTCCTTTTTCGGGTTAGAGAAAGAGAGTGGTCAAAATATAAAAGGAGAATAATCCAATTATTACTTGAAAATCATCATATCATTAGTATTATTCATGAAAGGAAAATATTAAAGCTGTGGAAGAAGAATTTCACACAGCATGTTAGTATGAGCAAAATACAACTTCTTAAAGTGTTAAAGTAGCCACATTTTTTGGTAGGCTCATATGGCTGTTTCACCAGTTGTTCCCAGGAGTCTGCACATATATTTTGTATGCGCCAACAATGCTTTCACTGTGCCCAGCTAGGTATGCCCACACACAGCCAGAGAAAGCCTTCGAAACAGCTATACCAAGTCTTCAGGGAGACATGGCTGCTTTCACACTTTATGAAGCATCTCTTTTGAATGCTTTGCCCAGCTCTAGAAAATAAGCCTGCTTATTTAAATGAGTAAATGAGTTATTCCATCCACTCACCTTTCTTTCAGTGAATGGACTGGAAAGATTTATGTGCAAATGATCCTCTTTCTGAAATGGAAAGTAGTGAACATGTTTATCATATAGATGATCCTAGATTTAAATGCTTGGCCCCTCTAGGTAGGAATGGGACAGGATTTTTTTTTTCCCCTGAGAAACCAGAAACTCAGGTCAGTTGATACAGTAAACAATATTAACCTAACTAGACCGAGAATCTTACTACATCATGTTCCTATGAATGGTTAACCCCTTGTGCTTGAGAATGCCATGCATAGCTCTAAATCAGTGTTTCTCAACCTTGGCAGCCCTTATAAGTGGTGTGTTGCACATAACGCACATATTCACTCAACCGCCTTCGGGGTGTTGGAGGTGTGAATAA